AGAGGGTAGATTTAGGCTAGATATCAGGAGGCGCGACTTCACGGTCAGGGCGGCTAGGATCTGGAACCAACTTCCAAGAGAAGTGGTGCTGGCTCCTACCCTGGGGGTCTTTAAGAGGAGGCTTGATGAACACCTTGCTGGGGTCATTTGATCCCAGTAACCTTTCCTGCCATGGCAGGGCGTCAGACTAGATGATCTACTCAGGTCTCTTCTGACCCTAGAAACTATGAAACAAAAAATGACAGTTATTTTGATCATTCAAACAGATTCCTCGTGAATTCTGACGCCTGACATGTAACATAATGATTTCATTATTGTTTATTACAGCATTTTAGTGGAGTGCCGCGAATGCTGGTATTAACCTGGGAGCTACAAACATAACCCTTGCAGTTTGCCTGGTCTGGGCAGGTAAGATTAAAAACACTTGAAAGAAACACAGGAAAACTGCATTCAGGACGGATTTATTACTCAGGGGATACATTGTTACTATACAAAAAGCACTCATAATAAAATTGTTTAAATACAGCATCTCTTACACCTGCTACCTGTCTATTCCATTAGGAATTTAACTGAGTGCCTACACATGGCTTAACTAACCAGCACTTAAAAATATGTTTGTTAGCAAGGAAGAAATCGTAATTTCTGAAAGAGAACATTCCCCAAACTGAGGATCAGGCAAATGCATTTAAGACGGATTTCAGACCCAAACAGAAGGAGGGGCAAAAAGACTTTCATGAGAAATTGCAACCTATGCCTGTAGGCTATCCATTGTATTTATCCACCGCCAAGGTAAGTGCAGAAATGGATTTAGGTTTCTAGACAGCATCATGTAATAAGTGACACACAAAAATAAATTTACAGTTATCAACTGCCATCTTGCTCTTCTGTAGCCTCTTCCAATCATCTTTGGCTTTGGTGCACGTTATTTTACCTTTGTAGCTTAAGTATCTTAGTAGAAAAAAGGTGCAATAACATTGAAACGCAAAGTGGGAAATAAATACATTTTTTTCTGTAAAAAAATTCAATCTGCTAATTGGGACTCAGCACCCAGACACCTAGTCCGTGCTGTTGGCACTCTGTAACATCCCATATAAAGTTCTTGCCTTCAGGGGCTGTCTTGCAATGTTCAGGGTATCTTGAGAAATATTCTTCTTGCTGGGTACTGTCCACACCTCTCAAAGTTGATGACAGCTCTATTTTCTCCAGTACTAGAAAAGGAGACAAAACAGAGTATGGTATTCATTCGGTTTATTCACAGAATTAGGTGCAACTGCAGTATTTCTTAACTGTGTAAAACCCTTGAGGTAGGCAAATTTCCATGATTTAAGACAAATATCTGGAAAAAAAACAAACTTTTCATTAGTCTCCAAACAGTTTCTACCTGAAATGCACATTCTTTCTGATTAATCTGGTTCGGTTGGGAAAATTTGCTTTCAAATACAAGCAGCCAAACTAATTTTGGGGGGAACAGGTCCTCTTCTATATTAAACTTCATATGCAACAGAAACAGCATTGGCAGTATACTGCCATACTGCTTACCAGAAGCAAAAAGTTATCCACATACTGCTTACATTTAGCTTATTTCTAATAACCTGAACAAAATGAAAATGCTCAGGCAAGAGGCATTTGAATGGTCTTGTTACAATCCTAAACTGTAATGCTGGATTGGAAGAAACATTTTGAAATATTCATTTTTAGATTAATGCTTGACTTAGTATTCCCAAGATTCAATTCCCTCAGGTCTTGTAATTTACAAGCGAAATAGAAGTAAAGTAACCTTAATCACTTCAACTGGAGATTGACTAATCCGATTTCTAGTATTTCCTTTCTCTATAGAAATGAGTTATGCTGTCAGAATGAAGATAATTCTTACCAGGGAGTTAGCTAGTAAGCATTTAAGGGCAGAGGGAAATTATTGTACATTCTCTTGATCAGCGTTCTAGAAACACATTTTTTCCAAAAAACACAGAAATATGATGTTTTAAAGACAGACAAGGTTCTCTGGGTAAATTCACCCAAAGAACCTCGTCTGCTTGTTTCTTTAGACCAACACTGTTACAATCAGCACCCCTGAACTATGGTCTAAAGATGATCCCCAGGGGAAGAAAACTGCCATATACGTGGTGACACTTAAAGAATGACTTAAGATATTCCAGGCATTTGACTAGATACCAGATTGAAGACATGCATTAAAAAAGTCCTGTAAATTAAAATTTTCATGATGCAACTTTGAATTGTATCTGTTTAAAATATTCATTTAAAAACAGAAAACATATTGTTGCTTCTCAGAAAAAAAAGCTGATGGCAAAATAATAAGCTGTCTTTATGTAATGTGAGCTTTACTTGCCCATTATGACTGCCTGGTATTATAATACAATGGTTATTATAATAGCCAGACTTATTAAACGCTCTTATCTTAACTGGTGCAACAAACCACACAGACTGCATAGTACTATTTGCAGGCTCATTTTGGAGGTGATAAGAAAAATAAATATATATTGGTGGATAACAAGGCACACACTGAAGGGCATTTCAAATGAAAAATGATGTGGCATTATGCCAAATCAGCTGCTTAAACATGTCATATAATACATGTCTAGCAGCATTAGACAGTGTTTTAATTGCTGTTTGCAGCTGCACTCTTTGCAATTCAAAGCAGCATAATACCTGCACAAAGAGAACATTTCTATTCAGCTATTATGCAAGGGGATCACTTAGCTGGAAGTTCAATTAAATAATAATCATTTCTTTGTCCATTATTTTACAGACTCTTAGACTTTATGCAGCAACTTTTCCACAAGAAGATGGTACAAAAAGGACAGATATTAAGTGACAGACATTCTGATTAACTTGCAAAGGTTGCTAAAAAAGCTCTAACTCCAATCATAAACGCAGCTTTAAAAATGGGAGGGCAATTTGTACCCGAAAGCTTGTTAGATCTCTGCAGCTGGTCCAATAAAAAGGTCTAAACACCACTACAATACTTGCTTCTTCTATTTTTAAAAAAAAATACGCCTTGCACAACTCTTTTCAAAACTGCTCTCTCTAAACTTTTTGCCTTGATATCTTTTTCTCTTCTCTGACCTTTCAAGATTTTGGACCTTCTTTTCTCACACTTCACTTTGCAGTGAAAACTATTACATGAGTGGAGACAATGTACCTGGGCCCAAAGTCTACAAGATCGACCCAGTCCCCCTAATATTAATGTCCTCCCTTTCCCCAAAGGGTACGTCTGTTGCATGGATGAACAGCTTCAAATAAATGGTCACACGGTCCCTTTATTTGTGAAAGACAAGCACCTTTGTGTTATTCACACATGCTCAGGTCTTCAGAATAAACGTGCCTTCTCAAAAGGCCAGAGCCCGTGCAGCTCTGATGTCAATGGGAATGCAGGTGCTCAGCACCTCGGACTGGAAAAGCAACTGGCTCAGTGGTTTTGTTCTTACATATTACAAAACACTTATGCAATGGTATGAAAAATGCAATGTTCCAGTATCTATTTGGGACTAAATCTGATTACAGGTACTAGTTAATGTTACTTCTTTTGCTTACGGGGAGAGAGGAGGGTGCACAGAGGGAGGGAGAAAGAAGGGCAAAGAGATGAAAATTGGGCTCATTATGCTTATTATATTGGTTTCTGACAGTTTGTTTTAGGATACTTTTTTCATTTGTTCACAAAACTTTGACAATTTTAAACATACAGGGTACAAGTTTCAGCCCAAATGACTCTGTGTTTGAGGTGAGGGGAAATACATTTGTCCAAATTAAGAATTTCTGGTGACTTTTTACTAAACAGCTCAGACACATCGGCAGACTTGCCTTGACCTTGAACCTTGGCAGGCAGATGCCTTTACATCAGTGATGTGTTTTTTTGTTTCCCCTGTGCCAACTGGCTCCACAATGGCTAGTAAATGAGTCTGTCCATCTATCCTTTTTTGTATCTTAGGACCATGGAGAAATAGGGCTGGAAGGGACCTCCGCAGATTATTTAGTTCAACACTCTTCTTAAGGCAGGATCATCCCTATCCAAACCATCCTGTTCAAGTCCATAATCTCACCTCTTGGTAACACTGCAGCCAACCCTGACACAACACAAGGCATAACGCCCTAACCTGCCACGGGGAAAACAGGGGGAACCACAGCAGCCAACGTGCTGCTACTGTAAAAGGTTAACATACGCTCACGAGATCCCAGGTTGACTGCCATACCCCCCGTTACAGAGGAAGGCAAAAACTTCCTTGTGGAAGTTTTGTCATGGTTCGTCATGATGGACGCACAGGCGCAGACAGCCATAACTTCACGCTTCCCAGAAAGTGACAGTTTAGAGAGATAAGCAGCTACCAAGATAACTATGTTCTGGCAGATGCTCCCATGGTGGGCACCTGATAAAAATACAAGGGTTGTCTAAGAGCCCAAAATCAATGTAGGGATGACAAAGCTGGGGACAAAAAGTCATGAATGCAAGACGCGGAGCAAAAGTTTCGACATCGGAGAAACTAATTTTGAGAATGCATCGCGCATGCAGAGTACCAGTACCTATGACAAAAATGGTTTGGGCACCAGGATCAGCCCTCCCTGCCCACAACTCCCACCGTCTGTCCAGTCTGTTGTCGTCCATTCCAGCCAAAACCAGGGTTTATCAGACAGGGAACCTGTTGCCGAATACCCTCAGCCATGAGATGAAACGGCTTCTGTATTCAAAGATGAAAGCAACACTGAATAAGCCCTGGAAAGCCATGGGTTATGCTGGTATAGGTACCTGAACTAATAGCAGGAAGACAGTCTCTTTCCTGTGATCTCAGTGCCTTTTTTTTTTTGTGCTAAACACAGACAGTGGGGAGAAGGAAGCTGTGGAGAGGTAGGAGAGATGTACTGGTGTAGGGAGAAGGCACAAGGCACACCTGGAGATTATGGACAGAAAACTATGGTGCACAATAAAAATCAATTCCCTCTACAATCTGCAATGAGACACAGGATTCCTAAATCTCATCAGTCTCTGCTTTCAATATATCTATGAACCCCATTGTAATACTGTATCCAACCTCTCCTAAAGATGGTTCCCAGAGGATAATTATTAGAAGTAGCAGATTGTTACTCAAACAGTAGAGAGGTGTGTGCGATGGTTTTAGTAATGTCAAGCTTCCTGAAGATCACCCCAAGAGTATGGCACAAGATAACATTCTCCTTTCTTTTTTTAAGTTTGGTTTAAAAACACGTGCTTTTTAATACACAACACCCCCAGTGAAGTTGCAAAGCCAAGCATTCAAGTCAGCAATGCAACAATGAAGATTGCCCGGGCAAGCTTAGTTCAGCTTCCACCCCATGCATCTGGATTATTATATAGCCTAATAACCTGATTTCCCCTCTCACTGACCCTCATCTCATTCAGTGTCCAGGATGGATACATTTAATGAGAAGCTATTCAATATCTTCTTATCTCCATGCTCAGTATGAGCTGCAGGCCTTTATTTTTGCACACCGTAACAGTGATGTCTGAGGAGCAGATTTTGAAATTTACCCATGGGCTTTTTGATTGTCTAGTATCACTGAGTGTCTGAGTGCATCACAAAAAATGGTGAGTTATTTTCATAATGCCCCTTTAACAGGAGGGGGCATTATCCCAGCTTTATAGATGGGCACCTGTGGTTCAGTGAGATTAAAATCAACAGTACCCACGAATTTTGGGTGCTCAGGTTGAGATTCATAGGTTGTAAGGCTGGAAGGGACCTCGGAAGATCGAGTCCAGCCCCCTGCACCAAGCGGAAAGGACAACTAGGGTCAGGTGACCCCAGCAAAGTGACTGTCTGGTCTCCTCTATACCTGATGCCTACACCTGATTTTTTTTCAGAATACTTAGCATTGCATAGCCCAGCTGCCATTAACTTTAATGGCAGCTGTGAGTACTCAGCCCTTCTACAAATTAAACCCAGGGGCCTCAGTTAAGCTCTCACAAACTAAGGAACACAGAATTAGTGGCCACCTGTGAAAAATGTGGTTTCAGTGACTTGACTAGAATTAATAGTAACTTCATGGCCAATGATACTGTAGTCTTGGGCACATATCTTCACTTACGTTAAGATGGTGGAAATTGGGAATGTGCATCAGAAAACAGAACTTAATCGTTAATGCTCAACTTCCTAATCACTTTAGAGCAGTATTTCAGTAGACCTGTGAGCCTCTGAAATGTAAGGCCTGATCTTGTATCCATCACACCCACGGTACCAGGTCCACAATGTGCTGCGATACCTGGGCTCAGGCATATGGATTAGGACAGAGGAGAAGTCCCATGTTTTTCTTATGTTTGAAGGTACCATTCATTTCCATCATTAGGGTCATTTGCTCCTACAGCCTAATGGTTAATAAGACAACTGGATGTGCTGCTAATACAATGCTAAAACCAGCATTAAGCTGGCTTTTAGATGCTTTATTTAACTCTCTTAAAAGCATAGACAAGTTTGGGTGAGAAAGAAAGGTCATACATATATACACCTGACTGGAAAAAAAAAATCACGTCTGAAAACAATGATTTATTGTTGCTCTTTAGCAAATGCATTATTAGATAGCTGGGAAGTTCTGGTAGCTACCTGAGAAGGAACTTCTTCCACAGAGATGTCTGGGAAAAGTGGGCTAGTGTCATCCTGTGATTTAAAAAAGTCTACTTACACCTAATTGCATGCATTGAAAATCAAATTCAGTGTCATGTCAAGACAACCTGGCTCTCTGTTTATTATTAATTTAAGTTAAACATACAAGCATTAGAAGCTATAACCCTGGGGTCCAGGAACTGGCTCTTCAAAATGAATTCACTGTCTGACATTAAGTAATCTCTATAAGTATGGAGACTATAAATATGGAAGACTTCTCTTAAAAAGGCATTTTCAACTGTTTGCATTTCCTTGTGTTCACATATTAAACAAACAGGTATGGTGAAAATACTAAGTTAAAAAAAAAAGGACATTTTTGCTCTGTTGGGTAACATCATTCTGGAAAGTAAGATTCAGGTTTGTATCAATACACAGATTAAGAACATGGGCAAAGCCTGCAACAGCTGTTATACCGTAACTGTTCTGGCTGCATTAATCTATAACTACCAGTATAGCAAAAACACTCCCAGTTTGAACTGGGCTTCATCCAGGGTCAAAGTTCAGCTAATTCAGCTCACTTGTATAGCTATAGGATCATGCAGACTCATAGATTTCATAGACATTAGGGCTGGAAGGGACCTCGGAATATCATCAAGTCCAGCCCCCTGCCCCAGGGGCAGGAAATCAGCTGGGGTCAAAGGATCCCAGCAAGATAAACATCCACATGTCTCTTAAAGGAGTCCAGAGTAGGTGCTTGCACCACCTCTGGCAGCAGTCTGTTCCAGGCCTTTGGGGCTCAGACAGTAAAGTTCTTCCTTATGTCCAGCCTGAAACGGTCTGAGTTTGGATGAGTTTGTGATTGTTTGACCTTGTTATACCTTGGGGCACTCTAGTGAACAGGTGTTCCCCCAGATCCTGATGGACATCCCTTATGTACTTATGGGCAGCCACCAGGTCACCCCTGAGCCTGCACCCTTCCAGGCTGAAGAGTCCCGTAGCTCTCAGCCTCTCATCACAAGGCCTCTTCTCCTGACCTCTGATCATGTGCATGGCTCCCCTCTGGACTCTCTCAAGCTTCTCCACGTCCTTCTTGACTTGTGGAGCTCAGAATTGGATGCAGTACTCCAGCTGTGCCCTTACCAAGGCCAAGTACAGTGGGAGGATGACATCTTGGGATTTGCTTGAGAAGCATCTATGGATGCAAGCCAGAGTTTTGCTTGCTTTACTAGCTGCGACATCACATTAGTGGCTCATGTTCATCTTGTGGTTAGATGTTACAGTGCAACAGTTCCTGTGACCTCTCGAGCAGCAGCTCCCCCTTTTTTTTGTCCTAAATCAGGGATGTCAAATTCACTTGGTCCCCGGCCATGCCAGATCCTGACTACAGGGCTCCTTGCAGGCTGGGTCTAGATTTGGGGTGGGGGTGCAAAATTATTTTGGGTGGAGAGCCACTTACCAAGTTGTGGTGAGCTGTTGAGGGCCACATAGGTAGCGCCCCTCCCACACCCGGTTGCCATACTAGGACCAGAAGTCCCGCCCTCTAACCCTTACCACCTGACCTTTGCCCCTCCCCTTACTCCTTTTGGGAGGGAGGGTGCTGCAATGTTGAATCTGGGAACAAAAAAACCAAAGTCATACACATACACACACACACACACACACACACACACACACACAAAAAATCTACTATAACTTATTTTAATTTTATTTAAAAATATTTTTGTACTAATTTATGTGTTTGTGAAGTGTATCTAGAGGTGACTGCATAATAGCTCCAAATACAGTCCTATTGTATATTGTATGGGGATGGTAGGAGGGGTATGTGGGGGTTGGGTATGGATGGGTGTGGGGTATGTGGTTGGAGTGGGGACTGTGGGAGGATGTAGAGTTATTGTGGATGGGGTGGGAGAAAGAGAGACAGGGCCGGGCCACCAGCTCCACTGCATGCTGCTCTTGCAAACTGTGTGCGAGCCTCACATGATGCAGCCAGACAGACCCCGCACCCAGGCTCCCCGGTTCCTGCCAACCCACCCTGGGTCCCCGCTGGCCCCAAGGCACCAGCACAGGCTCCATGCTCCCACTCCCCCATCGTTTCCTTGCTTTCCCTCCTGCATGCCTGCCCACCAGTGCTGCCACTGCTTTCCATCCAGCATCATCACTGCTCCACATGCTACCAACTCTTCCTGTGGCCTCCCTGCTACTCTCCATCATGTTCTATGGCTCCTCCGCTGCTCCCTGTGCCATCACCACTCCCTGCAGCCCCCCCTGCCACCAACACTTCCTGCCACCACCACTTCCCTCTGCCCCCCTGCCCACTGCTTCCCACCCTGCCTGGCAAGCACCAAGTGGTTCTTGGCTGCTGGACAGATACAGCTATTTCCTCCCATCCCTTCATCAGATCTTATCTGACTTTCCACTTGGACGGAGGGAAGGCGGGGAACAGCCAAAGGGTTGCCAGGCCAGGAGCCACAGAGGCTTCCAGTTGGGGGTTAGAGGTGGGGTGGAGCTGGGCGGGCCTTGCTGCTCAGCCACTGGGTCCTGCTGCCTGTCATCTTTGACAGGCTGCCAGGAGTAGATAAAAATTGATTTTCTAAAATTCTTAGGGGCCCTGTGGGCCGGATAGAATGGCCTGGCAGGCCAGATACAATCCAAGGGGCATGTTTTGCCCATCCCTGATCTAGATGCATGGATAGGGAGGCGAACAGCAGTGGCAGTCACAATGCAGCCACTGCTCAACTCCACCACCGACATGGGTCCCCAATGGGGCCCCAGACTTTGGCAAAAGACCCTGCTCTAGTTTATCACACCTGCCAAAATTCTGACTCGTCTGGGAATCCTGCAGGCTCGATTCAGCCCGTGGGCTGTAGATTTGACACCCCTGCCTGAAGTGAAAGATCTTTTCCTGAAATCACAGCCATAGAAACAGAGCTCCTCACAGGAACCCTTGAGTTTGCATTTTTCTGTCTGGTCAGTCAAAGGAAACATTCTTTAATGCACCTGGAAGATCAGGAAGCATTTCTGAGATCAGTTTCTTGTTTTTTTCTCTGAATTGCCTGGTCTGAGACTAATATTTAATGCAAAGAGACAACATATTCTCTTAAATTCCTGATAAAAGCAAACTAGATATGTTAAAAGCCTTTAACAAAATACAGTGCAGATGAAATAAAATGCTTTTATAAATAGCATTTTATTACAATCAAAATATCTTATTGTCCCTTTTGACGGACTACATTACTGAAGCGCATACACTTCATGGCTAAAATGCCATCTTTCATCAAAGTAAGTATGAATCTTAAGAAAGGTGAACAGGGAATATTTCTCCCTGGGAATTTTAAACACCTAATTAGTTGGAATATATTATTTAGAAGCCAGCATTTAACTCTTCCCCCCTCCCCCCGCAAAAACCAAAACCAAAACCAAAAAACCTCTTACCAGTGATTAACAGTCATGTATGATATGAAGTAAAAGGGAAAAGAGGGAATTATTCATTATTAAAGTTATTTTTCTTGAAGACAACATACTAGGAATGCTGGTACTTCACTAGGAATGCTGGTACTTCCTCTCATAGAATTCAGACTGCAAAAATATCTCTTTAACAAACAGCCCTTACTCTTAGAGAATGATCCATTCAGAGTCTGCCAAAACAGACAAACTGAACCACTGAGTAACTCTCCAACTTACGTTCAGATAAAACCAAAGTGGCATGAAATTGTATATATGCTAAGACTGGAGCTCTGGCTCTAAAGATTTCCCCTTCTTTGCTATAGTCATTGAGCAAACACCTACAGCACTGCAAAGAATGAAGCTACTCTTATGTTTCGGAGGCTTGCAAATGTCAATGATCACCCAAAACTTGTCATAGAGTCATAGAAATCATAGATAATTAGGGTTGGAAGGGACCCCAGGAACTCTAGTCCAACCCCCTGCTCAAAGCAGGATATTCCCCAACTAGATCATTCCAGCCAGGGCTTTGTTGAGCCAGACCTTAAAAACCTGCTAAGATGTCCTTTTCATTTTGACATATTTTATCATCTCCCTCCAATAAATTCAAGAGTCCATAAGAAATTGCAGGCAGGAAGAGCGTTGACATCACTTTTCTGCAGTCATCCTTCAGGCTGTATTTTCACAATTGGTCTAATAGGCAGGCATTAGTCTGTATACTTCTTACCTGAGCAAACTTGTGTATCTGTTCCACCACTGCAGCAAACAGAGCATGGACACTTTCATCAATTAGACTCTGCATGTAATGTACAGCCTCTTCATCAGATAGGTCCAAACGGAATTTGTCCTGCACCTAGGAAGAAGAGATGAGAAAGATTATATACTCTTCCAAAGAAACGTAACACCAAACAATGAGTACATTCTAACAGAAAGCAAATTATTTCCACTACTTTACCCCAAAATGCAGAAGACTGAAAAGGTCATGGAATTTACTGTGGACCAAATTATTAACTGAGAAAAAATGAACTCATAGGCATCATGCTGACTTACATCAGCTAGAAATACAGCTCTGTAACAATGACATTCAATTTCACTCAGTTTATTTATATAGTAGGAAAATCCATACCCTGATAAGTAGAAAACTCTCGCTGGAGAGAACACAACTGAACTGCATAAACACAACTGAACTGTGCACAGGAATCTGTGTACAGAAGTCAAGTCTCTCCTGTGTTCCTTAAACATTTCCTTAGGAAGGCATTTGATTGGCTATTACTCATTACTGATATTCTTTCTCCATTTTAAATGTCTGATCTGTAATATCAAAGGAAAATCAATTTCTCCCAACAGGTGAAATCAAACAAAAATTATCCTTGAAAATCTGATTTCAGTTAAGTGGTCAGAATAAACAGATTTAAATTAGAGAGTATTAACATTTGTTTTGCATTTACATTTTTTTGGTGTTTTTCTTTAAAAAGGGTCAATATTAAAACACTGACATTAAACCATGCTTATTTTCAATTACAAAAAGACTTTACACCAAATTTGGCACTTCTTGATAAGATACAGCAGGTAGGAATTCATTTAAATCACTGAGGTGTAGAAATACCCAATTACCTGTGGGGGCACATTTCTCACAAGAAAACCACTCTCTCTCCAATCTCTCAGTTCTAATCCTCAAAGGAAACTCGCAAAGCACTTTCCAGAGACAAGCCTACGAACTTTACTTCATCAACCTCCTGGATACTAAAAATCATGGACTAAATATAGACACTGGATTTATGATACATTATAACCTGCCTGACGTGTTATAACCTGCCTGACATCTGACTTCCCAGGTACCTCTCCACTATTCATCCCCCTTCTCTCTCTGCCCACACCCAGCCCATCTCTCACCCATTGTTGCTGCAGTTGCTGGGTCCTGCCGCCAGCTCCCCTTGGGCCCTACTGGGTCTTTGACAGGCAGCCAGGGGCAGATAAATGTTAATTTTCTAAATATATTTAGGGGTCCCGTGGGCTAGCTAGAATGGCCTGGCAGGCCTGATCTGGCCCACGGGCCATATTTTGCCCGCCCCAGTATATATACACACAAACAAACACAATATTATATACGCATACAAGAATAGGAATGCATTTTCATAGTATTCTGGAGGATCCTAATAACTGTTGAAAGTCTGTGAGGTTCCCTTCACCTAAAATTAAATTAAGAATAAACTGGGTTTTTGAAACTGTAAAGAAATTAAGAATGAGTATAAGTGCGATCCCACCAGGCCTGTCAAAATTGGTCTCTATGCAGTAGGCAAGAATCTGATTAACTCTGACTGCATCCGTCATCTGCGAACAGTTGGCGGGAGACACTACTACCCTCACATCGTTTGTTCTTCTGACAGCAGTACATTTTAAAACCCTGTATCCAAATTGTTTGTATGGTACTTATAAATTACACACAAACTACTTGCAGAAATCACTATAATTAAGGACAAAGCAACAATGAGCCAAGCTTGCTTTGTTGTAGCCACAGGCAAAGGCTTGGCCCATGCATGTTGCATAAAGGTGATATCAATAGCGCCTCATGAATTCTGAGCAACTCCACAGGAACTGTTCAGCGCTTGGCCAGATGGCAATTTCTCACTTGCACTTTTGCTGCACAGATAGGTCTCTTCTATAATCAAGCCTACGTTTAATTGAACTGGCAGCAACTCAGCTACACCAAACTGGATCTTCCCTTTCAATGGCAGTTTTGGATGAGGAACATGAAGAACTTTACAGGTAAATGGTCAGGAAAAGCAGAATGTTAAAGGAACAATGTTACAGCTGGGTAAAGTAAGCTCCAGAAATTATTAAGACCAATGTATTGAAAGGGGGTGTCCAATGTTAGGCGTCTGCATAAATGGACCAGTTTTCTAAAGTGGTGCCCATCCAGTAGCTATCTTTAACTTCAATAGGGACTTTGCTGTCCAATACTTTAGGAAAATGAGGCCACTTGTATATAGCACCTAACTGCAGACACAGAGGTTTGCAAATACTGGGTCAAGTTAGTTATCTCACACTACAAAAGGAGTCAGGTTGATTTGAACAGACCAAAGTTTAATTACCCCAATTTTTTTCTAACTGCAACCCACATAAACTTAATATTCCTAGCAGTGTTAGAGGGGCAAGCAGGATCTCTAACGATCTATTAACAAGAGTCTAGTGAATTAGTTTTGAAGAGACTGAATCTCAGCCACGTTTGGTAGTACATATTGTACCTCTTCATTTTCTGCTTCAAGATAAAGTTCAGGCACAAATATGAAACCTTGTGGAAACCACTGATATAATCTAGACTGCTTTTCTGAATCATTAAGCCCATAACTTTTGGTTGACTACAAGAATAATTTTTACAAACTTAGCATGTAAAGACTGTAAAGGACAGGGAATCACCTGCATCCCTGGTTAAAGAGCTCCCGTGATGAATTACTTTATTTTAAATCCGTGTTTTATTTCTAGCTGAAATTTGTCCAGTTTTACTTTAAAACCACTTGAACTCACTATGCTGTTTTCTTGTACATTAGGAAAGAAATGTCTATCAGAAACACTTCTCACATACTTGTTGACTGATCAAGTCACATCTTAACTTTCACTTAGATGAATCAAGACTGAGCTGTTTAAATCTTAGTTGATATTTTCTTGACTTCACGTTTTGAACATGTCTACATTCAAAACACTGGCATAAGAATCTGACACAGTATTTCAATATTGGTCACTAATGGATGCATCATAAAACTAACAGTATCTACTATTCCCACTATGCATCGTGGCATCATGTCCTCATTCATCTTTATAGGCACAACAATCTGCTAGGACTTGTTCAGTTATCCAGTACTGCTCCCATGACTGTCTCAGTCACTGCACTCAAGGATATTGACTTCCAGTGTTTAAATGTGATGTGTGTTTTACTCTTGCTTGATATCATTCTACCTCTTTCCAAATATATAATAATTTTAAGTGCACCGGTAACTGAGTTGTGGGCATAAGCTGAGCCTGACTGGAAAGAAAGAAGATGCCTTAGAAATATGAAAGATAAACCAAAAGGTAAAACTAAAGGGGAGGTGGGAAAGGGGAAGAAGTGTTTAATTTCCTCAAAAAAGGAAAGTAGCAAACAGATAAGCAAAGAAAAAAAACAAAAACAAAAATGTTTTCAGTCAAATGTTGTAGATCTTTCACTGTGCATCTCATTACTTATGAAAACAGAATGAGACCAAGGTTACCCCCAGGCACATATATGTGCTTGACAAACCATCAGGAGCAAAATGACCACAATAGCAAATGGTAAAAGATGACCAAATAGCCACTAGTCTGTAATATAGTAGCAGCTATAGGATTGGTCACTTACTCGCTCTTTACTTGCCTAATTCTTTTCTTAATTATAATCCAATTGGATTTGTTATATGAAATAGCTTCAATGTCCACTAAATATTAGGCAGGCACTTTAAACTTGAGTGAAAACCCAGTGACTTCAGATGGGATTACTTGCATGTTTAAAACTGAGCATATGTGCTTAAGTACCTTTCTGAATTAAGGCACAGATTTTCCTAGTGATTTTCCTATTCATATTAAAAGGAGGGTGTTACAGTGACAATTCAGTTAAAATGTTTAACTGCCGTTAGGGGGAGGGAGTGTTGGAATCTCTAGAACACTAAAACTTGCATGCCATTTTTGCCATTAAGCACTTACTTTACCCATATTTTAATCTGTTCATGGCATAATGTCCTCTCAGACTTCTAATGGTACTGATCTTAATATGCTGCATCAGCCAAATGTTAGTAATGACGATTAAAATATTTACTGCCTACCTAGAGAACAGACTGGCACATTTTTTTTTCAAATACATCAATTCTGCTACAGTTGGAGATTAAAAATTAGACTGCCATTAACAGTGGGATCAAATGCTGCTGAGCACTGGATCCTTGCAAAAAAGGTTTTCAGCACTGGTATTAAAAATGACTGCTGCAACGCAGCTGAGAAGGGACATGGCAAGATGACAAATTATTTCTTGAGTTGCAGCAGTAGCAGCAAGATTAATGAACATTGACTTATGGCTCTTCTAACAAAACCAATAGTAATGTGTTACTGCAAATCTCTCAGTTGCAAAGTAATGCATATTTCTTGAAAATCCATGGTTCTTCAAAAGACAGGTGTTACTGGAAGAAGATTTGCACTACGTAAAAATAAAGTTAATTTTGGGTCAAGTTTCTATGATTTATAAAATCCTGTCCAAGATGCATCTAAAGTTGTCTTCTGAAAAGATATCAACAAGTTAACCAGGACAATGTTTTGGCAATTCAATTAAACAAGATTGTGCTGACTGGCTGACACACACACACACACACACACACTCTCTCTCTCTCTCTCTCGGGGGGAGGGGGGAGAGCATGGTTGAATTTTTGCTTATTTTCCACAGAGGAAAGTTTTAAAATTAATTTGTTCTACTTAATTAAATTAAATATACATCCCATTAAAATCTTGACTATTGCAGCTTTCATGTTTTAAAATGAGATGCTTGAATAAAGATAAAAAGGATTAATTAAAAAAACTGATGAGATTCCCTCTTAAGGCTTCAAGTTAGCAGCTTCTGACTATTCAATTATATTGTGCTTTCAGTAATCTACTGTATTTACTTGCATATCACACATACCTTTCCCCCTCCTGCCCGCCCCCACCCCAAATTGGGATGTGCCTCAAGTGAGGAAGCTGATTTTCCTACACGGAATAAAACACAGGGAAGTTGTAAAATACTTTCTGTTCCTTTTCCTTCTTTCCCCAGAGTGGCTGCTTTGAAGCAAGGTGTCTTCAGAAGCAGCTGTGTCTTGAAGACAG